AATTTGGAAATATTTTGCTAGCGCCCTTTAAGCCGCCACTGTAAATGTTTCAAGATGTCCTTGGATACATCAGGAGTTTTGATTTACAGCTTGCTAACCTATTCCATGCAGCTCAAGTACAAGGCAGGTTTAAATATAAAAAGACAATTATTAAATTCAATTTTAATTCAATTAATATAAATTATTGACTACAGCATTAATATAAATAATTTTCTCTGAAATGATGTTTATAATAAAACGGCGAATGATCTGGTTGTTGAACCTGAACCTGAACCTCCACCTGTTCCTCCTGTTCCCCGAGCCCCCCGGAGAATTAGGAGCACACATAAACCCTGTCACGACTGTCATAGGAACCATGATGATATATTGTTTTATTCGTTGGGGTTAAAGTAAAACTTGACATTTTGACGGTCTAACATGTTCACAAATCAATACTTTTTTAAAAATCTTTCTTTTATGTTGTATCTAGCAGCGCAGTTTGCCTTAATTTAACTTAATGTTCTGATATGTAAGTTGGAAAAAGATGGGCTGGGATAAAACTCTAACACAGAAAAACAAAAATATCTGAACCTAGGAGAATCTGTTTACTCCCAATCTTGAAACTGAAACAGAAACTGACCAAGCACAAGAGAAGAACCCTACGGGAGCAGAAAGCTGCAGAGAAAAAATCGAAATCAATTCGATTCTATCGAACCCAGAGCGTGGTTGAAGAGATGAGAATAGAGTTTGAAAAGTACCTGGAGTTAGAGGAGAAGTACCTGGAGTTAGAGAAGGAGAACCTGGGGCTAGAGGAGGAGAACCCGAGGCTAGAGGAGGAGAACCTGGCCCTAGAGAAGAAGAACCTGGAGCTAGAGGAAAAGGAGAATCTGGAGCTAGAGAAGAACCTACAGTTAGAGGAGGAGAACCTGGAGCTAGAGAAAAAGAACCCGGAGAAGAAAGAACTGTTAGATCTGAAATCAACCCAGATTAAATATTCCAGTCCACCTGTTAAACCTGTATTATATCTGAAATATTCCAATAATCAGGAAAACTCCAAAGGAAAAACTCTGAATGATACTAAACTAGGAATGCAGTAAATAAATTCATACGATTTAACATATTTATTGAATTTTAACAATTTCAACCCTCCAAAATTTCTGTTTTGAATATAAATTTACGTCATTGTTAAGATTTACGAACACTGCTTAAAATATCCACCATTAAGCCTTCAATTTCCAAAATTTCGAAGAAGACAATATATATCTCAGACCAGACTTCTACAATATCAGAACATCATCCAAAAGACTCAGAGAAGACTATTAAGAATTTTAAACAATCTTCAAAAATCGTAGAATCTACTGTACAAAATTTAGATTTTTCTGATCTTGAAAACCAGACTTTCAAAACTGAAGAACAAGTTTCAAAACACAAAGAAAATTTCCAAACTCTATTTAGGCAAACTTCAAAAATCCAGCCAAAGTTTACAAAGCAGACTTTAAAGACTTTAAATCAGATCCAGAAGCCAACAGAGCCGACTCCAACGCGGTTAAACAAGACTCCAAATCCAAAAAAGGAGACTCCAAAGATGGAGAATAAGGCTTCAAAGCTAATGATCAAAACTCCAAAAATCACTGAGAAGGTTAAAAAAGAAAGAATCGGCAACAAAGCTCTTCGAACCTGGATTCAAAGAAAAGAATCAGCGTCCACTGGTTCCGAAGAAAGATTTAGAACTTTTTCAGAGATCTGGAGAAAGTCCATTCTGAGAGGGGTTGAAAATTCCAGGAGGACTGGAGGACAGAAATTAAACTACACAACAAAACCTAAATCCGGTTCAATTTGTGTTAGTTCTCTTCTGAATATTTTATGTGATTTCTTATTCAATAGGAAAAATATTTGCACAAGAAGGAATAAAATTGGCCCTATTACATATTAAAGAAATTATTTCTTTTCAAATTAGTTATTTTTTATGCATTTTACAGTCGGCACCAATATACAGTCGGCACCAATATACAGTCGGCACCAATATACAGTCGGCACCAATATACAGTCGTAACCAGAAAACTCTGTAATATGAAGGCGACTTTTAGACTCTAGTTATAATTTTAAATGGTCACAAATACATATAATGAACATAAACACGGAAATTGTGCACTGTGCAGTGTACACAGACCCATTTCACTTAATAAGATGATTTTCAATTAGCTGGTAAAACTGTTTGCTTTATTACATCATCAAATAGACACAAGATTGTTTAAATGTCGTCTTCGTCTTACACAGTTTTATGGGTTCCACAGTTTAAAAAATACATAGAACTAGCAAATAGAAATTAAAATGTTAAAATCATATAAATTTTAATTAAATTTTAGGCTTGTATAGGATAAAGGATTAAAGATGAAGTAATTATTCAGGATGAAGGGAGGGGGAATAGGTCTGAAAGAGTGAAGACTAAAGAAGAAGAAGAAGAAGGAAAGAAACCGATTTCAGAGGAGAAGAACACCGGAGGGAAGAAAAAGAAGAAGAAGCAGAATAAAGGAAAAGCTGAAGGATCACTTATCTTGAAGCTTGAAGATCCGGAGATAACTCAGGTAAGATCCGGAGATAACTCAGGTAAGATCCAAAGATAACTCAGATAAGATCCGGAGGTAACTCAGGTAAGAGCCGGAGATAACTCAGGTAAGATCCGGAGATAACTCAGATAAGATCCGGAGATAACTCAGGTAAGATCCAGAGATAACTCAGATAAGATCCGGAGATAACTCAGGTAAGATCCAGAGATAACTCAGATAAGATCCGGAGATAACTCAGGAAAGATCCAGAGATAATTCAGGAAAAATCCTGAGATAATTCAGGTAAGATCCGGAGATAATTCAGGTAAGATTCTGAGATAATTCAAATAAGATCCGGAGAAAGGTCCAGAACCGAACTTAAATCAGAAAGGATTTGAAGAAAGGTCAGGAACCGGACCTAAAACACAAGGGTTCGGAGATACCAGGATCCGGTTATATCCAGAAATCCATTACAATAACAGCTGAAAAATGCGAATATCTATCTATATATACTTTGCTTGTCTGGGTGGATGGGTGTCTGTTTGTTTGTATCCAATAAAATCAAAACGGCTTAACCAATCTGGCCAAAATTGTTTGTGGGACCTCGCGTGTACCCAGGGAAGGTATATGGATGATCTAATTTTCAAAAATTTGCTTCTAAAAAAATTCGATTTTTAAAAGTTTGAAAATCCACAATTTTTTTTTTATAAAATCCGAATTTTTTGGTTTTACTTTACAATGTATTCAAAGAGAAAATGTTTACAAATGAAATAGAAGATGGGCGTGGTGCGCCCTTAAAGGGATAGACCGGCTATGTAAGGTAGTTGAATGAGTATGCAGTGTTGTAAAAAGCTTCTTTAGGATTCATTTGAGACATATAAAACTTTTTAAAGATCTGTAAATCCAGAGGTTGAGCGCAAATTCGATATTTAAAACTCCTACTTTAGGGGTGAATACGTTTTCAGAATTGTTTTTTTTAATTATTAAATAACGACGACAAAAAATGTGAACAAAACTCTACAGTAAACTAATTAGTTGTTTAGGAACCGGTTGAGAAAATAAAAATTAATCTTATCATCGAAAATAAGTAATCTTGTTCAATTATTAGTTTCTATTTTCTTATTGTTCTAGTTTCTCATTATTTACAAGATGTTCTGCAGATTTTCTTGAACTATTATTGGAAAGACGACATTTGAAGAATTTGTAGAAATCTGCAAATAAATTCATAGAAAATAAGAAATTCAACATAAAAATGAAAACGAAAAAATTGACTCTAGCATTGATTTAATGACAAATTTCTTTTGAGAAATATGTTCCCAACCATCTAATTAGATTACTGCATGATTTTTACTTGTTTTTCGTCGTCGTTATTTACAGTAATTTAAAAAAAAAAAACAATTTTATAAACGTATCCACACCCAAAGTAGGAGTGTTAAACGTCGAATTTGCTCTCAAATTCAGGATTTACAGGTCTTTAAAAAAATTTATATGTCTCAAATAAATCCTAAAGAAGTTTTCCACACTGCATACTTAGTTCAACTACATTACGTAGCCTTGTCCATATTTATACTTTGATTGTCTGTCTGTCTGTTTTTTTGAGTCCAAAAAACGTCAAAACGGCTGAGCCGATCGGGCCCGAATTTTGTGTAGGACCTCACGTGACCCCAGGGAAGGTTTATGGATGATAAGCATTTCAAAAATTTGCCTTAACAAAATTTAATTTTGATTAAATTTTGAAAGCCCTGTAAGCCTCCTGTTTAGACAAAAAAGTCCGGAAATTAAGAAGAATTATTCTCCAGGTGGGTGCAGACGACTGTATAAAAGTTCCAGAGGAGGATGAAGAGGAGGAATGTTTGACTCCGCCAAGAAGAGAATTTGAGAACCCTGTTCATAGGTCAGGATGTTCACCATGACTATTTTCCATGGCCATTTCCGTGACTGTGAAATTGATCATTATTTTGATCATGATTAATTCAGTGACTAATACCATGACTTAGACAATGATCATAATTAACACCATGACCAATACCGTAACTATGTTTATGATTATGTTAATATTAATGTTAATGTGCATAATTGTGAACATTGACCAAGGCATAGACCATGAACATGGCATTGTCTATGATAATAACTATTGTTACTACCAAGACAATAGCCATGATCAAGACTATTGTCTTGTCCATGACTATGGCTATGACCATTACTATGGCTATGACCATGACAATGACCATGACAATGGCTATGACCATGACTATGGCTATAACCATGACCATGGCCATAGTCATGGTCATAGCCATAGTCATAATCATAACTTAAATTATAACTTTGCCCATATCACCATGTCTATGACAATGACTACGATTATGACTATGAAAATGACTATTATCATGACTATGATCATGACTATGATTATGACTATGATCATGATTATGAAAATGACAATGACAATGACAATGAAATGACTATGACAATGACTATGATAATGACTATGACTAATACCATTATCATGTTAAAGATTATGGTTATGATTTAGGCGTGCTCTGGTGTCCCTGGAAAAACAGCTGGATTTAGAGAAACCCCTGAGTAACCTAGACTTATCAGTAAGTTTGTTTCGTTCAATTTATTAGTTTCATTAAAAAATTTGAAGTAATTTATAATTTTTAGGGTGTTCCACATATTTTGGCAGTTAAAGGAAAACCTCAAGGAATAGGGGTATGAAAAAAGCTTACAGTAGAAATAGTGTTAAAGTAAACTTATCCAAACCAATTATACAGTAGAAATAGTGTTAAAGTATACTTATCCAAACCAAATATACAGTAGAAATAGTGTAAAAGTATACTTATCCAAACCAAATATACAGTAGAAATAGTGTTAAAGTATACTTATCCAAACCAAATGTAAAGCAAACCTATTTTTCCTAGAGGCTGAGTGAAACTGAGGATCAAGTAATATCCGAGGTTAGAGTATCCTCTAAACGATCCTTCTCTGCTGTAGATGAGGAGATTAGAACCTTGATCTCAGAAATCGAACCAGCGCCAGGTAGAGTTAAACATAAACGGAGATCATTGGTTCTCTTCTCATGGTACATTTTAACATACAGTTATACGATATTCTAAGATCTAGATACAGTACACATCAGCATACAGATATTTATATATTCAATGATCTAGGTACGTTCAGCATATACAGATATTTTTATATTTAATGATCTAGGTACAGTTCAGCATATACAGATATTTATATATTTAATGATCTAGGTACAGTTCAGCATATACAGATATTTATATATTTAATGATCTAGGTACAGTTCAGCATATACAGATATTTATATATTTAATGATCTAGGTACAGTTCAGCATATACAGATATTTATATATTTAATGATCTAGGTACGTTCAGCATATACAGATATTTATATATTTAATGATCTAGGTACAGTTCAGCATATACATATATTTATATATTTAATGATCTAGGTACAGTACAGCATATACAGATATTTATATATTTAATGATCTAGGTACAGCTCAGCATATACATATATCTATATATTTAATGATCTAGGTACAGTTCAGCATATACATATATTTATATATTTAATGATCTAGGTACAGTACAGCATATACATAGATTTATATATTTAATGATCTATGTACAGTTCAGCATATACATATATTTATATATTTAATGATCTAGGTACAGTTCAGCATATACAGATATTTAAATATTTAATGATCTAGGTACAGTTCAGCATATACAGATATTTATATATTTAATGATCTAGGTACAGTTCAACATATACATATATTTATATATTTAAGATTTCTGGTTGGATCTCCCTAGATCCTTCTCTTTCCAAAGCTCGAGGTATAAAGCATGGAATTCTTTTTAATTCTTATTAATGTACCTAGAGATACGCATAGGTACTTGACTGAAAGTATTTCACAATGTTTACATGTAAAAACTATATTAGCTAGCAGATGTGTGTTTTTCTATGAGACTATTGAAGCAAGTTCTAAGCTTTGCATTAGATTTCTTTCTAATTTATGTAAAAACGACCTTAACACAGTTCTTTGCAGAAATTTATTTTCTATTGCAAATGATTGTTCTGTAAATCTATCTGATCTTAGTAAAATGTTAGTAAAGAATCAAATGAAATATTTTTTATGTCCCATTGGAACATGCATGGAAAGTTCCAGTTTTAAAAGAACTTTTAAATAAAAGAAGGAATAATTTATATTTAGAAGGATTCGATGATTACGTAATAACTGAAATGATAAATATATTATGTTATGAGTAATGTCGCCTATGTTTGTGCATAATTTTGAATATTTCTCTTTTTTCTTTTGTAAAACTATATATTCAAAAATTCATTAAAAAAATTTAAACTACACCATTTATATATGAATAAATATCTTTGTGTGTGAATAAATCTTAATAATAATAATACTGTAAAAATTAGAATTAATCCAGGTTTACCTATCTCTATAGCAGATCAAGATCTAACAAACTAACCACCAATATATAGGTTTACTCTACCTATGGATCTGAACCAACTAAATGAGCTGACCCCTCTAGGCTATCTTTCCAGGTCGTTTTTTAATAACACTTGACATCTGAAGCAGTCACTTTACGTACGATTCGAACCCAAGGGAAGAAATGGATCAACTCATCAAAAAATGCATGTTGTTATAGCATAAAAATATCATATTTTTGTTTGTTTTCAGGCATGTCACCATTTGTACAAGCAGGAGGCAACTTTATGATAAGGTGATTATACGGAGCGATAATGTACGAAAGATTTAGGTGATAATGTACGATATATTAAGGTGATAATTTACGATAGATTAAGGTGATAATGTACGATATATTAAGGTGATAATGTAGGTAGATTAAAGTAATAATGTAAGATAGATTAAGCTTGTGATACTACCTTGCGAGTTTTTTGTAACTACTTAAAACATCTATTCCCCAAAATATTCACTGATTATCCCCAAAAATTAGTATTCAGCGAAACAAAAAAATCTCTGGAAACCCATCTGGCAAAAATAAATTAATTTAGGTGTACACTAGAATAAAAAGTGTTCGGGACGGACTCCTTACAGAAGATGCATTTATTAAAGTAAGTAAGGCTGTTTATTGACTTAGAGGTATTCAGTATTTCTTTTTATGAATTGAAGTTTTTTATCCTTCTTTCTACTTGCATTAAAAAATCCCACTTTAGGTTTTGCAGGACTAGACTCCGTTTTCCATATGTACTCATTTATTCATGTCCTGTATAAATAAAAACAAATTATAACTTAAATAATAATCTTCAGACTAGAATATAAAGATTTGTTCAGGGTTTGGGTGAAGTAATGGGTGGATGTTTAAGTAAGGATCTAATCTCCGAGATCTGGAGTATACTTGGAGTCAAAATTGCTCCGCACATCGAGAACAAATTCAGGGAGCATGTGGAATAATTTTACTAATAAATATCATTTTTAGTTTTTAAATAGACTTAAGATATTATCTACTTTTAACTTTAAGCATATGTTTCTTAGTTTGAAATATTTTTGCCACTGTGTTTCCAGTTACCGTGAGTTCGCCGGTGTTGCAGCTTTGGTTGAACGAGTCTTCTGCTTTAGATTTCTAGACTCTAGTTCTCCTGGTCCTATTCTACATAAGGTTAGGTCCGGTATACCCCTGGTCCTACTCTAACTAAGGTTTAGTCCAGTATACTCCGGGTCCTACTCTACATAAGTTTAGGTTCAGTATACTCCTGGTCCTACTCTGCATAAGGTTTAGTCCAGTATACTCCTGGTCCTACTCTACATAAGGTTTAGTCCAGTATACTCCGGGTCCTACTCTACATAAGGTTAGGTTCAGTATATTCCGGGTCCTACTCTACATAAGTTTAGGTCCAGTATACTCCTGGTCCTACTCTACATAAGGTTTAGTCCAGTATACTCCGGGTCCTACTATACATAAAATTTAGTTCAGTATATTCCGGGTCCTACTCTACATAAGGTTTAGTAAAAGTATACTTCAGGCCCTATTCTACCCAAAGTTTGGTCCAGTATACTTCAGGCCCTATTCTAACTAAGTTTTTGTCCAGTATACTCCAGGTCCTACTTTACCTTAGGTTTAGTCCAGTATACTCCTGGTCCTACTCTACATAAGGTTTAGTCCAGTATACTCCTGGTCCTACTATACATAAGGTTTAGTCCAGTATACTCCGGGTCCTACTCTAACTAAGGTTTAGTCCAGTATACTCCTGGTCCTACTCTACATAAGGTTAGGTCCAGTTTACGCCTGGTCCTACTCTACATAAGGTTTAGTCCAGTATAGTCCTGGTCCTACTCTACATAAGGTTTAGTCCAGTATACTCCTGGTCCTACTCTACATAAGGTTTAATCCAGTGTACTCCGGGTCCTACTCTACATAAGGTTAGGTCCAGTATACTCCTGGTCCTACTCTACATAAGGTTTAGTCCAGTATACTCCTGGTCCTACTCTAACTGAGGTTTAGTCCAATATACTCCTGGTCCTACTTTACCTAAGGTTTAGTCCAGTATGCTCAGGGTCCTACTCCATCTAAGGTTTAGTCTAGTATACTCCTGGTCTTATTTTAACTAAGGTTTAGTCCAGTATACTCCTGGTCCTACTTTACATAAAATTTAGTTCAGTCTATTCCAGGTCCTACTCTACATAAGTTTAGGTCCAGTATACTCCTGGTCCTACTATAACTAAGGTTTAGTCCAGTATACTCCTGGTCCTACTCTACATAAGTTTAGGTCCAGTATACTCCTGGTCCTACTCTACATAAGGTTAGGTCCAGTATACTCCGGGTCCTACTATACATAAGGTTTAGTCCAGTATACTCCTGGTCCTACTCTACATAAGGTTTAGTCCAGTATACTCCGGGTCCTACTCTACATAAGGTTTAGTCCAGTATACTCCGGGTCCTACTATACATAAAATTTAGTTCAGTATATTCCGGGTCCTACTCTACATAAGTTTTGTAAAAGTATACTTCAGGCCCTATTCTAACTTAGGTTTAGTCCAGTATACTCCAGGTCCTACTTTACCTAAGGTTTAGTCCAGTATACTCCTGGTCCTACTCTACATAAGGTTTAGTCCAGTATACTCCTGGTCCTACTTTACCTAAGGTTTAGCCCAGTATGCTCAGGGTCCTACTCTAACTAAAGTTTAGTCCAGTATACTCCAGGTCCTACTCTAACTAAAGTTTAGTCCAGTATACTCCTGGTCCTACTCTACATAAGGTTTAGTCCAGTATACTCCTGGTCCTACTCTAATTAAGGTTTAGTCCAATATACTTCGGGTCCTACTCTAACTAAAGTTTAGTCCAGTATACTCCGGGTCCTACTCTAACTAAGGTTTAGTTTAGTATACTCCTGGTCCTACTCTAACTAAGGTTCAGTCTAGTATTCTTCTGATCCTATTCTGACTAAAGTTTAGTCCAATATACTCCTGGTCCTTCTCTTCCTAAGGTTTAGTCCGGTATACTCCGGGTTCTACTCTACCTAAGGTTTAGTCCTCATCTAAGTGCACTTATAAAAATTGTTTCTTTGTTTTACATATTTTAAAATTAAATTGTTAAAAATAATCAAAATTTTACAAATAAAATCGTGAACATTTTATAATTTTAGTCTGAGATAGAAAAGGCGGATTTTGATCGGCTTATTTCCAAGCTAGCTCAGGTATATATATATATATAGATATTTCCAAGCTAGCTCATGTATAAATATATATATATAGATATTTCCAAGCTTGCTCAGGTTTATATATATAGATATTTCCAAGCTAACTCAGGTATTTATTTATAGATATTTCCAAGCTAGCTCAGGTATAAATATATATATATATATAGATATTTCCAAGCTAGCTCAGGTATATATAGATATTTCCAAGCTAGCTCAGTTATATATATAGATATTTCCATGCTAGCTCAGGTATATATATAGAGATACTTCCAGGCTAGCTCAGGTATGTATAGATATTTCCAAGCTAGCTCAGGTATATATAGATTTTTCCAAGCCAGCTCAGGTATATATAGATATTTCCAAGCTAGCTCAGGTTTGTATATATAGATATTTCCAAGCTAGCTCAGCTATATATATATAGATATTTCCAATCTAGCTCAGCTATATATATAAAGATTTTTCCAAGCTAGCTCAGGTATATATAGATATTTCCAAGCTAGCTCAGGTTTGTATATATAGATATTTCCAAGCTAGCTCAGCTATATATATATAGATATTTCCAAGCTAGCTCAGGTATGTATAGATATTTCCAAGCTAGCTCAGGTATATATAGATATTTCCAAGCTAGCTCAGGTACCTATATATATATTTCCAAGCTAGCTCAGGTATGTATATATATTTCAAAGGTAGCTCAGGTATATATATATATAGATATTTCCAAGCTAGCTCAGGTATGTATACATACTTCCAAGCTAGCTCAGGTTTAAATAGATATTTTCAAGCTAACTCAGGTATGTATACATATATATATTTCCAAGCTAGCTCAGGTATGTGTATATATATATTTCCAAGCTAGCTCAGGTATATATAAATATGTCCAAGCTAGCTCAGGTATATATATAGATATTTCCAAGCTAGCTCAGGTATGTATATATATAGATATTTCCAAGATAGGTCAGGTATATTTATATATAGATATTTCCAAGGTAGCTCAGGTATATATATATAGATATTTCCAAGCTAGCTCAGGTATAAATATATATTTATAGATATTTCCAAGCTAGCTCAGGTATATATATATAGATATTTCCAAGCTAACTCAGGTATAAATATATATATATAGATATTTCCAAGCTAGCTCAGATATCTATTGATATTTCCAAGCTAGCTCAGGTAAATATATTTATATATATAGATATTTCAAAGCTAGCTCAGGTATGTATAGATATTTCCAAGCTAGCTCAGGTATGTATAGATATTTCCATGCTAGTTCAGGTATATATAGATATTTCCAAGCTAGTTCAGGTATATATATATATATATATTTCCAAGCTAGCTCAGGTATATATATATATTTCCAAGCTAGCTCAGTTATATAATATCATTTATTTTAAAACTTTAAAATTTATAAAATTTTATGCTTACCAGGAGTTCCTCGTCAGCCCGAAAAGAACCAAGCCAGAAAATTCTCCCAATCTCAGAATATTATCGATTTTCTATAGAGTAGCGTTCATCTGTAATTATATTTGTCTGTTGTAGTTCCTTTACAATTCCGGAATTTATGAAGATCATGGAACTAGTTAATTTCTAGAGTTTCAGCGGAGTTCTTAAAAGTTTTGGTAGTTCCTTAAAGAGAGTGTTCGCGAAAATGAAAGGGGGTATAGGCTTTCGTCGGAAAATATTTGACTGTGATTGCATACTAATCTTACTTCTATCTGTTGCGTCTGTAAGGATATAAGGAGAAAATTCTTGGAGCTTAATAGGATCCAGGAGCTTTATGATTTAAATGTCCACATCGATTAAGGAAATCTTTAAATATAAAGATAGCTGATCATCATGATGTTAGATTTGATCTTATGCCTATAATATAATCTTTAAATATGCTGTATCTAGTGTTTTGACGAGAAAGGAAAAGAAAATCAAGTTTGAAAATGGAGTTAACCGTAGGAATATAAAAAAACTGAATAAATTTCTAAAAGCTGAGTCTCTAGCGGTTCTAACTTTATCGGTAATTCTGTACATTTCTTTCTGAAGAAACATTATCTTTGTCATTTGTGGGAAAAGATCACTTGTTAAAAAACTAAGTTTAACTGCCACCTTTGTATCCTGATGGTGTAAACCTGTGATATTTTAAACTTAGGTTTAGCCGTTTGGTCAGCTATAGCTAACATATAAATATATATATAAATAGATATAGAGATATATATATATTTATAGATATTTCCAAGCTAGCTCAGATTTATATATATATATATATATATATAAATAGATATTTCCAAGCTAGCTCAGGTAAAGATTCTGCATTTTATAGAAATAATTTTCACTTAAAGAACTCTTGTTGTAATTTTAAGTGACGAAAATTTCGCTTCAATCTGTCTCGCAAAAAAATGCCAAATTTTCGCGAAAAAATACGGAATGTAAGAAACAGACATATTTTAAATTCACCCTGTATATAAGATAACTATCTGGCTGGCTGGCTCATGGCTAGCTGGATTTGGATAAACGTACATGGATGGACAGAAACTCAGAAAGGAAGAGAAATTATTAATATGGTATAGTAAAACTTCTGATTTTGAGCTCTCAGAGCAAAGAATTCCACAAGTTTTTTGCTCAATTAGTTGTTACAGCTTCAACACCTAGGGTTTTCGCGAAAATATTTTAGCCAAATGCAAAATTTTCGCGAAATTTCGCTTTGTTTCCGCATTTTTTGCTTTAAGAATTTTCGCGAATAAATGCAAAATTTTGCAAAAAAGTTCCTGAAATACGCGAAATGTTTCGTTTTCTGTAATCAGCCCCTTTAAATCGATCCAGTTTATCAAATGAAGCGTAAAAATTCTTTAAATAATTTTTTCAGGTTTCAGCAAACCAGTCCCTTCAAGACCTTCTCATTGCAATTAAAGATTCAGGAAACATAAAAATTTACTTTTCTTAAGCTTTTTTATAATACAGACATACATAAAACTTTGGAAATGGAAGACGACTGTTAGAATAAGGATAAGAATTTAGATGATTGTCGTAGTCGAATGAAACGTGTGTAGCAGTTGCTCAATATGCAGTACAGACAAGCCTGTAGGCTGATTGTTGATTAAATGCCGTCTTCATATTCTACAGTATTATGGATCCAACTGTACAATTAGCACTAGGCATGTTTTTTATTAGTTTTGAACATCAATCTCATTATTTTCATACACTGCAAAATTTGAAATGCTCAAAAAGTTTCATGTTCATTGTTCATCGGAGTATTTACAACCAAAACTTATGTTTAAATGTCGTCTTTCTATTCTACATTTTTCTGGGTCTCACTGTAGTTGAAATTAAATTTCTTCTGGAGGTACTTGGAACCTGATTAAAGTTGTAATTTGAATTAAACTAGCACCTATTAGCCTATTTTAAGTTTAAAAATCCTCAACTTTTGTAATTAAATCTTGTTTCTTTTTCATAAAAGACCAGGAAGGAAAAGAAAAATTTTAATAAATTGGATTGTTGATAATTCATAATTTAAATTAAATAAATCCTGTGAAAATGTTTTTTTTTAAATATATAATTACAGTTTTTAAAACTAAGTTTAACTGCCACCTTTGTATCCTGATGGTGTAAACCTGTGATATTTTAAACTTAGGTTTTGCGATCTAACAGAATTCAGATTTTGAAATATCTAAGGTCTACTTCATTGGATATAAGGATTAGAAAATGTTTGTGGGAAAAACTCAGTTTCTTTCCATTTTTTTTATTAATCATGTGATAAATAATCAAAGAAATAAACATTAAAATACATTTATAGTAGTAAGTAACTGCATTCTTCTTTATATTTATATATATATATATATATATGTGATAAATAATCAAAGAAATAAACATTAAAATACATTTATAGTAGTAAGTAACTGCATTCTTCTTTATATATATATATATATATATATATATTTTTGTGTATAAAGCACTTTACTTCCTGTTCGGGTTTCCATGTGCAAAATCTGTATTTTTCTCCTGATATGCAAACAATAGAGACGCTGGAAAATAGATTTAGTCCCACCAATACGAATTTTTTGTTGTTGCATGCAACGAGATAGACTGTGAATTTGTGCAGATAAGTTAGCCAGGTATTTATCATGTTTTATACGATTCCAGCTGTCATCCTAACCATATAACTAAGAATATACCGTTCTCACGGGATACAGTGCACTCAGAATCTGCTGGAGTGAAGAGTTATTAGAGAAAAGACTAGAAGAACTGGAAGAAGATTTGGTTGAGAGAGGATACAGGAGAAGATCCATTATAAATCTTCCTTCATGGATGTGAGGAAGATAAAAAGAGAGCAGACACTGAAGAAGGTTATGAGTAGCAGGGTAGAGAATGATAGAACCAGGTTTATTGTCAAATATGACCCTAGACTGCCTAGGTTCTCTGAAACTCTAAGTTTTATGTGTTATCGTTTGAACTATTGGTCGTTTGAACTACTCACATGGTATTACGTGAGTTCAAATGACCAATAGTTCAACAAGTCAATAGTTCAAACTACTGCCGTTTGAACTATTGATTGATGGATAAAGCAAGGTCGTCTTTTTAAAATTTGAATTTACCGTTGGAAAATCTTTGCGGGATTCTGCTTAACAAGATGTTTAACTGGATTCCCGCTAATTAACATTTTGAATTTTCTTTATGAGCTTTTCGAGCTTATTTCCTGGTTTAGGAGAGGAGAAGTTGTTAAATTAATCAATACTTCAAGGAATTCAAATATTTTTTTTAATAAGTTCAAATAATGAAGTTTATAAAGTGATCTAATAGTTTGTTTTATGTTTAACTTTGCAGTCGAGCTTGTTTTAAGCTGTTTATTTTAACTGAGAAACATTTACATCGGAGGTGTTGAAATTTGTTCTTAGAAAGTTTCGGTTATTTTTCTGAAAGTAATTTTAACAATAATTTTAGAGATATGTCTGTCACGCCCCGCAAGAAGCCGCATGCAGTGGGGGTAGTTGGAGGAGGTGGAGGCGGACAAAATATACAAGTTTTCGTCAGGTTACTATTTATATACATGGCTACCCACAAATGACAAGACTCCTGTACGGAAACTTGCTAGTCTTTCTTTTTTATTTTATCATTTAAAGACCGTACTCATTAGGCTGAAAAATAAATTCCCCTTTTTGTTAGTCGTTTAAGTTTTATCCTGGGTCCGATACGATTTTTGGATCTCCGGCCCCCTCCTATCAGTTTTGGAGACGATAATTAATTTTCAGAAAAATTATTATTATTTCCTAAGCATTATTTAGGGTAAGGTTAGGCTAAGACAATTTCTCGACCGAGCGCTGCGGCCAGGACAGGTTAGGGCACCGGATTAAGAGAGGATAGGGGGCTGTGCGCTGCGGCCACATGACCAATTATATCCGTGTTGTGTTATGGGATCCGTGTACAAAATGGAAAGGAGGGTCCAAAAATCGTTTAGCAAGAAATTACCTTTATCTTTTGTATTTACAGCTTAAACAAAGATTTTAAATCCTTAATATAAATCTGATCATTTCTTTAGTCACTGCTGATCCTAAATATTACGATAATTTCCTTGAGAACGATTTATGGACCCCCCCCCCCACTATCAAATT